TGAGTACCATACAGGAATATAGTAATTCATTTTAGGAAATACACATATGCTTTCATGCTGAGAGTAAGATAAGAAGACTTGCGCTTCTCATACTTCTATACTGAGTGTAGTCTGCATAGAGACTGAAAGTATGGGGAGCCATGACTTTTTCCCGAAGTCACTGCATGCAGCCAATAAAATGTGTGGCAACAAAATGCAACACCACATCTAATGTGTTAACAATCTTTAGAGGTGCTAGATATCTATATATATTGATATCTTCAGAGGGAGCCAGACCAGATATTTTCACAAGTTTTCAGTCTTTGTGCTAAGCTCAGCTAACATGCTACTTGCTGTAACTATACTCCCCCCCAAAAGTTAAACTATTGCTTTGTTATAAACACACATTTTAAACTGACAACTCCTCATCACAGTGAGTCTAATTGTTCCTTTATCTTCTGTAGTACACTATAAGGTTTGACGGCTTGTTGAGCAGAAACATGGATCATCGCAAAGACATAGCTCACCTACTACAACAGAAAGGCTTATGGTGCAATGTTGCAAAGAAATTCAACAAGCAGTTGGCTACACAGCTAAACCAAACAGAGAAAATGGAGGAGAGTTTCACTGTGGCTTTCCAACAGAGGTGATTCATATGTTTGAGTGCATGTAGAAAACACGGAGGTGGGGGGGCAGATAATTGATGTGTGTTTGTGTTGTTTTGTTCTTCAGGTCAGAGGCAGAGGGCCGAATGCTGGAGGTGGGGGAGTGGATCGATGTGGAGACCGCTCACTTTACCAAGAGAAGGATGCAGCTGAAGACAATCATCGACCATGATGTCAAACTCCAGACTTTCATGGAGACCAAGTTCCAGGAAGTTATTTGTTTCGAAGAAAATGAAGACTCCAAGAATAGAAGTATGATATTAGCATGCATGTGCTTAGTCCCTGAGAGGCACGTAAGAAAAAAAAGTGTTAGTTTGTGGTCTGTTTTTTCTCTCCTTATAGGACTTAAAGAGAGGGGAAATGTTTAAGTTCCATAATTGTTTTCATCTGTGAACCAGGTGGGGAAAAAAACTTGTACAGGGTTCTTGATGTATTTTCTAAGTAACATCATTTTTTTCATCTTTAAAACAATTAAAGAGTATGGGGGGGGTTTGGCAGATTATTTGCAGCTGTTTGTTATTGTAATACTGTTTTCGGCCACAAGAGGCTGAAGCGCTCCACTACCCCATGTTATAAATGAACATTAATTCAAAACACAATGAATATTATGCTTATATGAATTTACACTTAGGCTATCATTTTTTTATCCTGCAAAACCTGGTTTCATCTGTACTTTAGTTACAACAACAACAACAACAACAACAACAACAACAACAGAGTACGTCATTTGGATTTGAAACTTTATCCAATAATTTGATAGTCCTTACTTGTCTCTCAGGGCTTCCATAGGCCTGGTCCCCATGTTGGATTTAGATAAGATTTCATGTTTTTCAGCTTGTTTTCAGCCTGCATCCGTAATTGTTACAGAGAAACAGCAACAGGATGAGTCTGGAGTTGAGAAGCTGCATATGTACCGGCAGGGCCACAGCAGTTTAGTAGAGGTCACCGAAGAGAGCGACCTGCGAGAAATCGCCCACATGTTTGCTCAAAACGAACAGAAGAATTTTGCTCGTATCAGCTATATCAATGAGCTGCAGAACAAAAGGAACATGTTGAGGCACAGCACAGACAAGATGAAGGCATGTGCATATATCCTGTTTACACACTCACACAGTTACACCTATAGTGTACATTTTATTAATGCACACGTGTGTTTCTACTTCAGAGTGACATCCTGTTCCTGGAGAAAGAGAACAAAGGACATGATGAGCAGATTAACAGCACGCTTAAGGATATAGAGGTGAGTCACATCACATCATACAGTCATCATTTCTATATAATTATTACTATAAGTAGGCCCTGGTTTGATGCTGTTGACGCTCATGTGTATGGCCTCTTAAGCTAGTTTAGTGACGCTGAACCGGATTTTAATAACATATCATTATTGTATGACGGTAGCTCACAAGAGGAATATTTGGCTCAAAGCTGTTTCCTAGCAACAACTCTTTCAGGTACAAACCTGGTATAGCCACAATTTCAATGATTAAGGAACTAAAAAACAATCATTTGTTGTAATGATGCATCTTTTTTTGACATTACCCAGTCTACTTTAAAGGTTTTGATGAGTTATGGAATTATCTCTCTGTCTGCAAATGTGAGTCGCACATCCAAAAATATGATGTCTCCTTTCCTATAGCTTTCCAAGTTCATTTTAACATTTGAGTTGAACACGTACAGATCAAAGCGAGGTGTAGTCAGACACTACCTCTCTGAGATCATGCAACTAATAAACGGTATATATTCTTCCACATAAGTATCTCAGTCCCCTCACTAAAATAAAATCTGAGCTAAAAGAAGACACTTAGTTTAATAAAAAGAGTTAAGCTCACACATAGCCTACTTTTTAATGAATATTTCCCTACTGAATTAAAAAAATAACAAATCAACCAAAGAAAGTGAAAACCTTAAAGAAAATTCCAGCAATATGTGTATTAGTGTGTTAGCCTGCAGAACAGTACAGCTTACAAAGAAGAAATACACTCTGTTTCTTTAACAACAAACACTTTATGCTCTTTTTAAGGTTTTGAGTCACATTGTAATCCTGTTAGTAATCCCCAATTCATAGTAAACATAACAGTAATCTGATTACGTATTTTCTTAATGTATCTGCAACTAGAACTTCCCGTTACATGTAATCCATTACTTTCAAGCCTGACAATATGACAAATGATTTAACAGAAGCATCCTCAGTGAGGAAATGAGCAATGAAAATGCCTTTTGATAACAAGTCTTTGACTTTTTTATATGTCTTTCATATAAATATCACAGTTGTATGGTTCTCATTAACTCTTTCTTCCCCTGTATCTTTGTGTGCTGCAGTCTGAGTTGGAGAAGAACCGCTGTCTGTCAGACTCTCTGGAGCAGCGGTGCTCTGCTGTTCAGACGACTCTAGGCGAGCTGACGGGAGCCATCAGCGGCCTCTTAGACCACATAATGCCAGAAGCTGTCACTGTCAATCTTGACAATGTCGCACACTTCACCAGTAAGTGAACTCTTACCCTCTTGAACCTGGCCGTAAATATACATTTCACTGAGCCTAGTTCATTCTACTTCAGGTATCCTCGAGGAGAGCATCAGTGACCTGCTGATCCAGGCCAACAACATGGAAGAGGAGCAGATGGATCCTCTGAGCATGCTGTTGGCCAACTCTGAGCTGCTACCAGGTATTACACACATTTAACTTGAACTAACAATGCTGTATTTAACAGTTTGTATATGGAACTGCTCAACTGTATACGTCTTTGTCACAGAAAACGAAGTGGCGGTGGAAACAGAGCGCGGCAAATCTCCTGCACGCTCGCTCAAGTCTGCCTGATCACAGACTCAGCGCCGTCACATCTTCTGACACTTCTGATTGCAATAAACAGCTAGCATCAAACCCTGTTTTCCTGTAATTTCTTCCATCAGAATTACATGTATTTTTATATTATTTACATTTTAATTTCATAGGTACGGTACGGAGAATGTCTGTTTTTCATAATTATGAGAGCATCAAGATTAAAGCGTCGTTCAGGGTTTTACCTTGACACATGGGGGTAGAGGAACCCTTCAAGATAAAATACAATGACAATTATGACATTCAATTACAGTCACTTAACAACATCCTGGTGATTGTAAAGTGGTTTGATCTGAATGTATTATTTTGGTAGAAATACATATATGTACAGTACAGCCAATCGTAATTCCATAATAAAGCTATTCAATATGAATAAAACTGTTTATATTAAATAGCTTTTAAATACAAGTTAGGCAGTAATCTGTGTATAAGTGCTATAAACGCTGCCCTGCTGTGTTTATGCTTTATTGCCTAGAACAAAACGCTGTTATTTCATCCATTGTCAATAAAAAAAAATCAGATTGGTGCATTTGAAGATAACGGTCATTCATCTGGGCTAGCAGGCACAGCTAAAGTTAAAGGGACAATTTGCTCCTTATTTCCCCCCCCCTCTCCCTCAATAGCAACAGTCTGTTCCTAGAAACATATAGCCAGGGGTGCACATAACTGGTACGCAGGTGCGCATGCGCAGCAAACATCTGAAATGCGTTCCGTCACGTCTCACCCCCCCCTCCGTCGACGTTCGTGAAACAGAGGGGCCGAACACAGACACATACACTTGCGTGGGCAGCCCTGAGTACCAAACATTGTCTCCTCCTACTCATTTGAGTAACTCACTAAGAAAGTTATGTGCACCCCTGCATATAGCGCTCAAATCATGTGAGCTCAGATGTCCTGTGTGATCCAAGCCTTTATCCCTAACCGCTTCAGAAGGCAATACCTCATTCTGTGCATGACCCCCCCCACCCCCCCGCCCCGGAGCCTCCAGCTGCCAACAACCAGGGATCTTCCCCCCACCTCACATCACCCCACCTACTGTAAGTCTAGTGAGGTAGTAGATGTGGGTTCAGATCACTTTGTGGCATCATATTGTGTCCCCCCCCGCTGCCTGAACCAGCAGCAGTGTAGCATATCTCTCCTCACATCATCAGGACACTGAAATAACAGCAGGGCTTTGTCTCTCTAAAGCCCTCTGCTTCAGTAGCCAAACATTTTAATGCTTGGACGTGCACAAAACACAAATAACTTTGCACATGCACAGACATACACACAATGCCACACGCTCGTTTTGGTGTAATCTCTTGGGCGTTGTAGTGGACCACCAACCGCTATTGTTGAGTAGACACATTCACTACCAAACATGGAGTCGCACTGGTATAGCCATGTGTTCAAGCATCAATCTGACGAGACAGTAAACATATGACTTACATGTCACCTCTTTTACATACTTTGTGTACTGTTTGGAAATGTTTCCCCATTGTCTTTATCAAATGTTTAAAAATCTGAATGAGAAACAGGCAGTATTTTAAAACTTTTATTAGACAATCATTCACAGACCTAACAGTTGGATCAAATACATAGATGGTGTGGTGAAGCGTAGGTAAATAAAAAATATTTTGTTTGCCTCAGTTGAATGTAAGAACATACAGGTAGCAGAGAGGAAGCTCACTTTGGTTACTGTCCATTTTTGGGGCCTGTGAACGCACATTTTGTCTTGGGCTCCTGAGTAAGAACTGAGCAGAACGCAGCAAAAACAAAGGGCCTTCACGGGCCAGGTTCAAGTCATGTACGGGCAAAAGATAAACGTTGTATTTGTTGTTGAAAAGGTTTACTCCTGGTCCTTCTCCTCTCCGTGGGTGATGATGTGAACCAGGTTCTTGTAATCCAGGTTTCCTGCCACATCTGGGGGGAATGCAGCGAACATCTGCTCCATCTAACAAAGCAGAAAAACAGATATTAGGACTAACTTTATCAGTGATTCAGCACTTCACCAAAACAATTGATTAGCATTCATAAGATGTGTGATGATGATTCATTGTTTCTGGCGTGGATCGAGATGATCATCATGATGTCGTGTATCTTCCTGTGTTTTATGGACCCACGCTAAAAGCAATCAGACATAATTATGATAATGAGGTTCTACAATATACCTCTTCAGGGGAAAATCGGTCTGCTTGCGTTGTTAGCATCTGTGTAACACTGAATGGGAAAAAAAGAGACAAAGATACAGCATGAGATGACGAAGCCTGTGCGCACCAGGAGGAAATGTGGCGGTCCAGAGGGAGCCGTACTGGGCTGAATCATTGCACTCAAAATCAGATGCCATTTTAAATTGTGAGTAAAACGCCAACACAACACTCCTCTAAATTAAAATCACTTACTAGTCCTTCTTCAGCGAGCCTTTCGCCTCAGGGTCAAAGACTTTAAAAGCGTTGAGGATGGTCTCCTCTGGATCAGCACCTGGAGACATCAAAACAGTCAGTACTTTTCACAGTTGGATCATGTTTTTTAAATAAATGTACATCTTTAGCCAGTTTGTTCTTACCTTTCAGCTTCTCACCGAACATGGTGAGGAAGACGGTGAAGTTAATTGGGCCGGGAGCCTCTTTGAGCATCTCATCAATCTCTTCCTGTTTCACTTTGACACGTCCTGTGGCACCACACATTCAACATATGAACAACTGAATAAAGCAGATTGAGTTTCTGCTAGGGCAGTAAGAACAAACTGATACGGAGTGTGGACTGGTACTGGAGAGGGGCCAGTTCTCCTCCTGGGCCACTGCCAAAGTGCCCTTGAGCAAGGCACCTAACCCCCAACTGCTCACTGGCGCCGGCTAGACTGGCTGCCTCCGCTCTGACCTCTCAACTGCATGTGCATGTGTGCATATAACTGTGTGTGTATTTGTATATGTATGTGCATGTTCTAAAAAGTGTGTACTGTGTGTACTATATGACCTGTATAAAAACGCATGTGTGTGTACGACAGAGTGGAAACCTGAATTTCCCCCTGGGGGGTTAATAAAGGTCCATCTTCTTCTTCTTTCTTCTTCTATTATACTTGGAGTGTACTGGATCTTGGTTTTGTAATACTTAACAGATTTTTTTTATTCGATTTTTTCCAAAAGGTTAACACAAACATGTGATAATTCAGTTTGTATATAAATGATGGTCTGCTCTTTACACCATGAAAGTATTCCTCCAATACATTTAATTGTTAACACTTTATCATTGCCAAATTCTTGACTAAACCAAACCCTTTGTGGCCTCAACAGAAATATAGATCTTAAGTCCTGTTGAGCTTTAGCCCCTGAAGAAAACTCAAACACAATTGTCGTTTATCAATAATAAAGAATAAATCCACAGCACCTTGTAGGACTGGGGGGATGCCAACGTACCTAGAGCAGCAAAAGTGTCCCTCAGGTCGTTCTTGTCGATGAAGCCGTCCCTGTTCTGGTCCATGATAGTGAAGGCCTGAGGGCACATACAAAGTATTGATAAGTGAGAGCAGCCACATGCTTTCAACACAATTCCCAGAAAGAAAGGAAAATCACATCACATTCTTCCCTTGAATATTTTGTGTGTCCTCTTTAAAGATGAGCACTTTTAAGTATTAATAACCCATGCGCTGAGGTTTATCTCGGCATCCAGGGCATGCCCAGCAGTTTATCTGCAGCTCTAATCACTGCTGACACCGTCTGGATGTCTGAGCAGCGCTGAGCGTCACACCAGCATACCACCAGGCCAGGGCCAGGGAAACAGACAGGTGGGCATACTACACCGATGAACAATGGCAATGGAAAGACAAAGGAGGACGGAGAGCGGAGAAGAAATAGAAAATGATGTATGTGTTGCTGTGTAAGTATGAGTCATGATCATAATACTCAACATGGTGAGCTAACATGCATATTCATATGTCATTTCTACAATGTGTGAGCCAAATCTTAATTAGCTTGGTTGAGCAGCTTTCACCTCTTTAAACTCCTGGATCTGAGCCTGCTCAAACATGGAGAACACGTTGGAGTTGGCTCCCTCTGCTGTCCTCTTCTTAGCTTTCTTGGGGGCCTTTTTGCACAAAGAAAGAAGAAGAAAAATCTCATGGCAGTTAAGTTAAAACTATACAACAGCAATACAATTGGTTGAATAGCTTTATATCAGGAGGGAAAATACCATAACAAAGTGCATAAACATGAACATTGACTCATTTTAGTATCCTGCATCAGGTCAAACATCGTGATTATTTGTCCTTGAATAATATAGTGTTATTTGGGATGCATTAAATTAAGGTTGTTGCAATACATCCAATGTGCAGTACACGTTTTTAAGAATGAATCCTCTGCCATGTTAAGCTACTATCCATCCATTGATGTTTTCATATCAAGCCTCAAACCATCAAACTTGCTATTCATCTCATTAGGCTAATGACACAATGTTTCAGTTCAGATTAAGACATATCACACGTTTTAAATGTTTAAAATATAAAGATTAAAGTGTGGAAATATGGCAGAGATACAAAAATAAAGTTAGCATCTTTAAAGCCAAATCATGTCCCACATCTGCCATCAGACAGCATCCCACACGCACACAGGGACTTACCATGGCTGAGCAGCTGAGGCTAACAGTGATTTCAGTGAACAATGGGGAGACGGTGGGCGCCCTTTTGTAGTCCCAACCCTCAGCTCCACTGGATGATATTTATAAACTATGTCCTCTTTAGGAAGTGACAGGTAAATGATGCTTCATACAGCACATACAGTATGGCTGCTTGCAAGCGCACCCACACACACATTAGACAAAGAGATTGAAATAACTGGTTAAGAATATCAAGAGCAGACTGAAGGTTAAAACACTTAATGAGGTTAAACTGCCCTCTGTCCGCAGAGCAGTCCAAACTATAGAAAGGTAAGGTAATAACAGATTCATGTTTATGTTTTTATATGAACAATTGTGCTAAAGGCACCCAGGTTTAGCCTAATGGGATGGGGTAAAGTCACAAAAGGAATTTTCCCTGCAGAAATCAGGCAGTTTCGTTTCGGCGGATCAGTTATTGGACCTAAATCTAATAATTTTAAAATAGATAACTATGACCATTCAAAGTGTGCTTATACTTGTGTGTTCCAGTTCAGTCTTCAAACAATATTAAATGAAGTTTGTCCTCACAATGCATGACATTATATAAGTTAAATATAAGTTAGAAAAATGACGTAGCTGGTGATGATGTAGGTAGAATAATACATATTTTAAATATGGAGTAAAAACTTTTAAAATAAGATTTTAAAATCAACAAACCAAGAGAAAAAGGAAACAGTAAATATTTTTAAACAATTGAATAGATGTGCTTTGAGTGCATTTATGCTCACCTTGAGAAATGCTGAGAAGAAACAAATGTTCATTAAATAATAGATATCTGGTAACATTTTAACTTGAAGGATATTTCCCACAAACCAATTCGATAACCTTTGCTGTTTTAACACATGCATAAGGACTGACATTTGAGCTTCAATGTCCCTACTTTCACTAACAAAATCTTTATCACGTTTTAAAATTTTAAAAAGTGTGTGCAAAACATTTCTTTTCTTCCTTCGATTCAAGATGGGTGGAAAGCTCCTTGAGTGCGATTTATTGACGTGTCAGGACTGTTTTACTCCCATCCCTATTAGTTACATCTCTAACCCTAACCCACACGCTTCATATGTTACAGCCTGCACAGCACACACATACAGTATGTGTCCTCATTTACTCTCTCAATGGTAAATGTATCTGTCCCATTTCATCCATGAAATAGATAAATCACACACATTGTTTCTCACACTATTATTAAAGGAAAAATGATATGAAAAAGAGTTGATACAATAAATCGATTTATAGGTTGATAGAACTTTTGTATCCACCAAACAATTAACTGATATATATATATAGAAAGCAAGCATCAGATTTGAGGATGATGAAGATAATCATTACGTATGTAGTTTGCACTCTTGTAAAACTAAGCTCGATGTTGTCAACAGCAGAAGGTGCGACATACTCTAGGGAGATCTGCTGACATTGAACACGTTCTTAACAATGTGCGATTACACCATTAACAAGTCGTCCGGTGTCACGTGTGGCTCTCAGGTCAAGGAAAGTGACAGTGTGTGAAAATGAGATGAATGGGCCGGGGTGCGGAGGCGATCTATATTTAAAGAGGCGCTGAAAGCCTCCCTGCACTCACTGTCACACAAAAGCTGCTGATGAACCAACAACAGATGTCCCTGGCTCTCATCCCGCAGCAGGCTGTGTACACGGAGAGCCAGAAGAGTTATTGTTGCAGATGCTATTGTTGAAAACGTTTTAACCCCTTCAGCTCTTCTCAGTTTTGAGCTGCAGCTACCGGGACAGGAATATGGCAGCGCCGTGATCGGACGTTTAAAAATAGACGACAACACAATGGACGTTGGCAAATGGTCATTTCACACACTGAAAAAACTGGAACGTTGACTTTAATTCAATTAAGTCAACAGATTTCAGATAACTGTATCATGTTAGTTGAAAGCAATACTATCAAGTTGAACCCTTATATATTTATTTAAACTAAATAGTATTGCTTTGAACTAACGTAATGCAGTTATGTGAAATCTGTTGACATAATATATTTAATTAAAGTCAACGATTTCAGTTTTTTCAGTGCAGGCAAGCCTCAAGTGTGAGCAGAAAGCACAAAGCTGTTTTCTCTTTTCTCACATGATGGAGCTCTGTGTCTGCACTTAATAATAACTAAACAACACATGAGGAGGCAGAGTTAAAGACAATGGTTATAATATTTAATATTCTGTGACAAAATCTCTACAGGGAACGCTAATAAAACATTTGTTAGCAGACATCAATATCATATCCAGCGTTACGGCATGATGATTCAGGACCATGTGATTAGATACAAATAAAAAAAATGATTGAAAAATATAATAAAATAAGACGGGAAACCCTTTTGTTTAAAGAGTCCCGTAGAGACCAGTGTAAAGCTTGTGCAATCTGCAGCGTTGGGTGCTTTTTGTTTATCAATTGTGACCAACCTTCTCGGCTTTAATACATTCACGAAGAGTTTAACATATAAGAACCAAAGCTGATCCAGAAAGTTGAGTACACTTCCTGTTGAGGGCCCTGCTGTTAACAGACAACACTGGACAAGTTAACGTGTGGCATCTCATCTGTATGTATTACTGGAAACCACAAACATGTTGTATTTCTATAGATCAAATTATGATCTATAGAAATAAAAGTCAAGTTTAAGCAGTTTAACAATACAAGTGGATTGTTTTAAGTGTTTTTGTTGGGTTGGGCTGTTGCCAAAGAGTGCCTTAAATAAAAGAAAATTGAAGTGTTTATACTCGTGAATTTACTCTGCTAGTATTTTAAAAGAAGGGGATGTTTTTAAAATCACGTGCTTCGTTGTTAAATCTCAGAATAAAAAATATAACCCAAAAGAGACAGAAGCAGAAGACAACACTCTGTTTCATTTCAGATATACATATCCATGCCATTTACGAACCAGGAGAAAAACAAATATTATTTTCATCCACCTTGAACACGTTTGGGTTATATACAGTATTAGGGACGTGGTACAAAAAGAAATGCTCAAGCACTATGTTGAAAGCTTCAGACGTCATCTTTTCCCCCTCCTGTCATATAGTTCAGCACTGAGGTTTTGCCTGTGACAGATGGAAGTGCATACACGATCCAGATACAATCACTCACTTAGTAAAGGATGTTCGGACATATTAAAAGAATACTCATTGGACATTCAAGAGGACACATAATCACTTGTTTTTCTTTAACAAAAATAGACATGGCTTATCCAGCCTTGAAATTCCTTCTCAATATATATAAAATTATGTCTCGTCTATTTACAGTCAGATAGCGTTCTGAAGGATTAGAAAGTCCTGCTGGGGATTGTGGGTAGTGCAGTTTGTTTTAGTGTCGACCTATGTGAGGGCAGACAATGGTGTGTTTGTGTGGTTCTACAGGGCAGGGCGGGTTCTGTTGATTTGTATTCCTATTTCTTTGTGCTCCAGCCAAGTCCTGTCACCTAAAGTAACCGAGGGCAGATTAGCAGATTGATTGTAATCAGCTGATAATGATTGTTTCTTGACATGTCAGCGCAGGACTGAAGCCAGAAACACTATCCTGCCCCGATCTGATGCTACTGTGGACGGAGCTGAGCTGAGACGAGGACGTCGTGTTACTACTATTCTGCCATTTTCACTAGTGACTGACTTTTGAAATATTTTAGGCATCGATTTGTGTTGCTACGGCTGTGCTTATTTATTGTTGTCACTGCTGTAAACTGGAACTACCACTGAGTCAGGTCTGAAGTGAAGAACTCATTTCCCAGATTTTGTGTTGGAAGCAGAAATCCAATCAAATGACTAATCCCTTCTACAGGTGCATACTCAAATACACTGAAGATGTTGTTGAATATGGCATTTTGTTGACTCGGATGAGCTCTGTGAGAAACATAACCCGATTCTAATGACATCTGTTTATTTCTGTGGTTCTCTCTCTGTTCTGACGGCTACAGTTGTTTTCCTCTGCGGGTTGTCGGCTTAGAGGTCAGTCAAACTCGTGTGGCAGTGTTTTTCATCATGGATTGGTGACACTCGCACTGGTTCTCTGCTCTCTCCGTTCCCTTTTTACAGAAGATGCTTTTCTCTGTCCGTGTTAGGGGTGGCTCCGCTGTCCTCAAACCGATGATTGGTCCCAGACCTGAGGGAAACAGTCAAAGATAAGGGTTATTAATTAAACATGGAGTAATGGACCACCAAGGAAAATTGTTAAAAACTGAACCAAACAAACAAAAGTAGTTCAATATATTTTTAAACCTTTTTCATGAAACCATTCCTTTTAAATGTGTATAGAATGTCATAAATATTGTATACGTTCAGTTTAAATCAAAACAAACAATAAGGGGTTCTCTTTTCTTCACTATGTCATTATAGATTTGTAAAAATAAGAGCTTTAAAGACAACTTAGTTTCCCAATTCCTGGTATTTGCTGTTATTGTACATTTTACAAATGTCTGTTACAATGTCCATACATCCATTTCGTGTTCTACTTTAAAAACCATTTCCTCGTAAGAGCTTTTTTTTCTTTTTACCAGATATATATATTATTAATTAATGAATATTTGTCTCTTTTCAGCATTTCTCAAGGTGAGCATAAATGTCATCATAGATATTATCAAAGTGGTCACTGACTGTCTCTCTTCCTCAGAGCCACATTGCAAATAACCCGTTGAGTATCTGCAGCTCTGTGGAGTAGCAGTCGGTTAGAGTAGAATATTCAACAGTAAAAGCGAACCTTGTTGACCTGGTTTATGGGCGTGCGACCGGAGCCAGTGTGAAGCCTTTGGCGCTCTTCGAACCGTCCGGGGGAGCGCTCCCTGCGGACGTCCATCATGCGGCCAGGAGAGCGGTCCATGCGGGGGTCCGCCATGGCCCGGCCCGGAGAGCGCTCTAACCGAGGGTCCGCCATGGCCCCCCGGCCCGGAGACGCCACTATCCGGCTCTCCAGCATCCGGCCGGGCGACTTCTCTCTCTCCAGCGGGCGGCTCGGGGACTTGTCCCGTCTGAACTCTGTGCGGGCCTCTCTGTAGCGGTGGGGGGTCCCGGGGTCTCCGTGAGGATTGCCTGCCAGCCTCTTAGAGATGTGCTCATTGTAGGAGGGGGGGCCGCGCTTGTTAGGGCTGTTAGGGAGGAACCGGGGCACAGAGACGGGAGGGGGGGGGTCAAAGGAGGAGGTATTTGTGTCTCTATTGGGTCATGGGCTCTGCGTGGCACGGGTGGGGGGCAGGCAAAGCTGTGTTGAGGATGATGGACTCACAATAAGGTTTATTATCATTGATGCTGAGCACATTGCTCTTAATGGTTTGAATCAACCGATCCACGTGGTTTAGTTTGCTGAATGCAGAGATTTCAGTTTCAGTAGCAGCACAGTGAGTAACAAAGGCTCAGCTGGTAATGAGATTCAAATTGGCAATCTCAGTCAGAAGTCTTTATTCAACAATGATCTTATTTTACATTTGAAAGGAGGCCTTTAAGAAATCAATTATAATTGAGAAAGACGTATCTCAGGATCTGTTACAGATAAAAAAGGAACTTTTCCTCCTGTAAATAGCAAAGTGAAGTCATTACTTCCCTATTTTAAACCCAGATTCAACCTGAAGTCCAGGACTTCACCATCACCACGTGTGGATGCCAACCTGAGCCCCGCAGAGTCCCATCGACCCTTCAGCAACACCCGTGAAGTGAGAGTGCTAAAATAAGGAGGACTAAACCCAAACAAATATAGTAAACGAGATGCTCAGGTAAAGAGAAATAAACACATAAATGCAGATCCGTGTCTCATCTTTGATTTTGTTTTTCCATCTGCAGGATTTATTATTCCCTCAGAATGGTTTTCCTGAGCAATATGAGCGAATGAAGGCACATCATCACTTATTCATCAATAAGTAAATAATTCATGGGTCAATCAAACCCTTTATGGGGTGTCCTAAATTGGTAGTTAAATTCAAGACAGAGTGAATACACAGTTACTGGAATTCATCTCATTTGTGCATTCTGTAAATGTATTTATTCATTTCAATGTTTTTGAGCAATACATATAAATGTGTGTTATTAGATTGGTCCTCCATATGCCTAACATTAAGACAAACTAGGAACTGGAGTCGAACATATTTTCAATACGAGTGTCAATATCCAACCTCTTAAGAATATGTTGCATCTCAGAACGCATGGTGCCTTCAAATGAAGGAGGAAGTTGAAAGTGTATTTTAGGAAAATGTCACCAAACTAAGCCCCAACACCAGAGAGTAGTTTGGTGTGAATGAGTTAATAAAGACAATGTGAGCGTGTTCCCTCACCTGCGCCCGGAGCCGCTCCTCTGCAGCTCCCCCCCGCCCTCCTGGCTCTGGATCAGGTTGCCTTTGCAGCAGATGACCCGCAGTTTGTTCTGGTAGGAGGAGGCCAGGTAGATGGCCCCGGAGGAGATGGCCGGGCCAAGGTAGCGGGGGTTCGGGATGTCCAGGTGAGCATACGAGTGAGGCCTGGAATAACAAAGATTAGACACTGTTTGCTTAACCCTTTAGACAAAAACATTTCTAAAATTCTAAATAGTGAAAAATTTAATATAAAATATTTCTAGTGTGAACCAAAATATAATACTAAATATTATACAAGTGATTTTTCTTAACCAAAATGACAAAAATGGCATAAAAACACATATTATAATACGGCTCCTTTTTTGACCCACTTATGGAAGAGTGTAGGATCCAGTGACTCAGGCATCTAAGGGTTAAATATATATAAAAAAATAAAACCTTTTGTAATTGTTATTTTTTTTGCTCCTGTTGATACATGTAATATAGTTAAGTGAAAATAAGACAAAATACAATATATTAAAGTTTAAGTAGAGAGCTG